GGGTTTAGGCAAGATGGCGTTTCGCCGAAAAGCGAAATTCTGCTGAAACTATATTAAAGTTATATTAAAAAACTGGCGAAACTTTGGAGAAAGGCGAAACTGCCGAAACTTATTATAAATGCCGAAACTGCTGAAACTCTGCCAAAACTATAATAAATCTATAGTAAAATTTTGACGAAACTAATCGTAGGATTTTGAAGAAGTTTAGATAAGTAACCTTAACTATAACTTGTTAGAATCGTCTCATAACGACAAGTCGAATGGTAGTTAAATCATCTTTTTACGATCACTGGATACCGAGATAATAGGCGAAACGTCAAACGGAGCAGTATTACAAAATACAAAATGCTGATTTTTGACATTTTGCTCAATATCTTGGCATCCAGTGATCGTAGAAAGATGCACCATAGCTCATTGGAATTGTCTCATAACGACGAGTCGAATGGTGATTAAATCATCGTTTTACGATCACTAGATATCGAGATAATAGGCGAAATGTTAAACGGAACAGTATCACAAAATATAAAATGCTAATTTTTGACGTTTCACTCAATATCTTGGCATTCAGTGATCGTAGAAAGACGATCTAACTACCATTCGACTCGTCATTATGAGACGATTCCAACGAGCTATGGTGTATCTTTCTACGATCATTGGATGCTAAATTATTAAGTGAAATGTCAAATAGCGCAGTATTGCAAAATACAAAACATATAGGTTGATTTGTTTACTTTGCATTAAAAAGAGTTTTGATTGATTTTTACAATTTTTGTTACACAAAATTGTTTTGTAATACCAAAAAATCATCTGATTGATGATCATTTGACTAAATAATAAGTTGAACAAAAATTTACATTTGCGAAACGTAAATTATTAAATGTAAAAGAGCTGTGAAAAAATCCATTTCTCATATATATGGAATTTTTAATATATATTATTAAAAAGTAAGTATATTTTAATAAAATATAAAGTAAAATAAAAATTTATATAGCCTTAGTAGCTATAAATGTTTATAAAAGTATAATAAAAATATCATATAAAAAATGGTATCATAATAGATATTTTCAAACAATAAAAACAATTATTTTATGTTGGAGTTTGTATTACCATCTTTAAACACAAATATATCAAGATTCACTAATCCGTTTTCTATAATTTTAGGCTCGTTGGAAAGCCCTTGTTCTGGACTTTATAGGCGAAAAAAGATCTCACTAATTGAATCATTAGATCCGGAGATATTTACATTTAAAGTTAAGGTATGAACTTTTTAACATGCTTAAATGCAAATATCTTGGGATCCACTGATCTATTTTGTATAAATTTAGGCTCTTTGGAAAGCCCTTGATCTGATCTATATGAACGAAAAAAGAGCTTGCCGATTGGATCACTGAATCTGAAAATAACTACATTTTAAGTTGAGATATAAATTTTTAACATATATAGTAAGTACTAAGAATTATATTAATTTAAAAAAAAGTTTTACCAAATTATAGTATAATAACATTAAATAAAAATTTTTTAATACTCATTCCCAATTTACTGTATATTATATACTTCCCAGCGAAATTAATTTAATTATGTCATTATACCTGACGTAATAAGCCGTAATAATTACGGTTTTAAATTTTAAAATGCCGATATGCCGTAATTAAATTAACCTGTCAAATTAATTACGGCAGTAAAATTTAAATTATATTAAAATAGGAAATAGATCAACTAATAAACACATGATTTAACATGAGTATATTAAATGAACGTAGTATATAATCATGTGTTATATTTCTTAAATTTTTTTTTAAAATATTTCTTTGTCTTAAAAAATGCCAAATTTAAAATATTTTCTAAAGCATGTACCAATTAAACATTCTGATATAAAATAATACATTTTTTTATATATATTTTATACACTAATTATAATGTCTACTCAAGAAACAAATGGTGGAAGTTCAAGTAGCGTATTATTAAACACAAATAAAGAAAAAGGAAAACCAGGAAGAAAAAGAGGACCTGTTTGAATTCATTTTAATGATATTGGTACTAAAAAAGAAGGTCATATTAGTTGTAAATGCATGTATTATGGCTGGACTCAAAACCAAGGAGAACCAGCCCAAATGCAAGCACATTTAGCTTTATCCTGTTCAAAAGTTCCTTCTACAATTAAAATAGAATATTTACTTCTTATTAAACAAAATGCTGAAGAGCGAGTTACTAACTCTACTTCAACTGTCTCAAAAAAAAGATGTGTTAATTTATCTCAAACAAGAATAGATAAATTTTATGAATCTGACCAGATTGATAGTACCAAACAAGTATTATGCGATAAAGCTGTTGCAAAATTCTTTGTTTGTTGTGGTGTGGCATTTCATTTAGTTTCTCATCCTTTTTTTATTGATATGGTTAAAAGTTTATGTAATGGATATGAGCCACCGTGTTCTACTACTTTATCCAATACACTTATGAACAACGAACTTACTAAAATAACTGTTGATCAGCAACTTACGTTAGATAAAGAATCAGATTTAACATTAGGTAAAAAAATAAATTTTATTTTTAGATTTTTTAATTATTTAATAAATTTTGAATTTTTTAGGATTTGATGGCTGGACGAGCCCACGAGGTCAATCATTATACGTTTTTATACTTATTACACGTGAACGAAAGGAAATTATACATAGTTTAAAAAATCTATCATCAGAATCTCATACAGCAAAATTTTTAGCTGAAAAAATTAATGAAGTAATTACAAATATTGGGCCTGAAAAATTTTCTGCAGTTGTTTCTGATCATGCTGCTGCTTGTGCATCTGCTAAACGAATCATTGCTGATACACATAAACATATTATTCCAAT